GAGCCAGTCACCATTCCTATGCAGCTTATAACATGTGTTTGTCAGACATACATGCAAAACACATTACGTTTCCATTCTATTCAGTGGCTTAGTAACACAGTGAATAGTTTACTGGCATATTTATTTCAAGGAACTGTGAAATTCCAACAAATATGTATTGTTCCTACTGCTAAGATAAGATTAAGTCACGCAGTAGTTACTAGCACAAAAGTAAAAAGAATGACTGCATATGACTGAGACACATGAGTATTCAAGTGCTAGTTATTTCAAACACACAAGAGCATACACTGAAATGGCAGCTCTTTTATATTAATTTAGCGTAGGCATAGCAATGCTATTAACTGACCAGTTGCCATTAACTAACAGCACCGCAATTTGAACTGCACCTATTCAGACTGGTTGAATGAGAAGCTAGCCTGGAAGACACTGACTCAGCATAAGTAAAAAAAGATAAGCTACACTCATTAGGTGGCATTTCTTATTAAAGGTTTTGAAGAGAAGATCAATTATAGTCTAGCCAGAGGGAATTACATTCTCAGAAATATTGTATATATGGCCATACATGGTAGGGCTATTTGAATATCAAATTTCTTTTCTGAGAATCAAAAACTAGATGTTGTACTATGGCTACATTGAAATGTTGAAATACATTAGCCAAGCGCTTTCAACAAATACCCAAGAGACTTTATTCTCTTTATTCTTTATTTGGTTATTCTTTAACCGAATTTTAACAATAGTAAATTCCAGTTACAGAGGAGGTTTTATCTCAAAATGCTATATGAACCACGTGCACATAGGAGGTGTGATCTTCTCCAGTTCCTTCTTCCCTGAATATTTTGGCTATTCAGATAGCACATATCTCCATGCATCACGGTTTTAGAGCAGGAAATATTGAGACCATGAAATAATCAAAGGAAAGAGGATCCAGTAGTGTTTCCTTTGGTCTGATTTGCCTGTTGAAGGCTCATTTAGCTACAGACCTGGCTAATTTTGCTTAAGTCATCAAGATCAGAGCCCTCATCCAATAGCTCCAAACCATTTTGAACTATTATTAATAGAAAGGAGAATCTTTCTTCTTTCCTGACTGCCTCCCCCATACTATACTAAGGGTTTATTGTGGTCACATTCTTCAAGCTGTAAATATCTGTGATATTCTATTTGTTTACAGAAAGGTCAATCTGAAAAGGAACAGTTAGCCAGAACTGAGCAAAAGACTGTAGCTGAGAAACAGCCAGAGTAAGTGATACAGTTCCTAGGAGAATCCTGTGTGGTAGGTTTGTTATCTACTGTTTATCAATCTGTCTGAAGTATGTACATTTTATCAATATCACACAGTCCCAGTTGGGTATATGTTAAAAATGCAGCCCTATGTCATTAAGGTATGTTGTCTTTTATAGAACCAAAAGGGAATTAGATTTGTAAATAATAGCTAAATCCAACAGCACACTTTACTGGCATACTGTAAGGTAGCATATAATACTCCTTAAGTACATGCATACAATTTTTCAGCTTGCCTGTCTTATGGATGGTGCCTCACTGCACTGAACTTGACACACATTACTCCTTCCAGGGATAGTCAATGTAATTGCCCACTAATGCATTTTAAAAGACGTTATTATTCTTGTAATAAGAGATGTTACCGAAAACATACCTGGTATTTCATTACCATAATCAAGATGAGATGACCCAGTCAAAACCTCCCTAAACTCTAATTGGGTCATCACTTTGCTGAGTGGTTTCATCCATTCTTGTGCTATTATCAACAAGTTTTTATGAAGCAGAGGTCAGAACTATCATGTCACTCACACCATATTGCTGCATTATTATGATCTAAACTTGAATGGGGTTCATCCTTCATAGTCTCATTGACCTCTCTGTTTATTCATAGGTCATAATCAGATTGCTCTAATATGTTGTACTGAATACCTGCTTCCAGACTGGAATTTCAGGTAACTATTCTGTGAAGTCATTTCAAACAGCTGCATAGAGAGTTTGTTCCCAAGCATTTATAATTTGCACTTTCTGGCTGTTAGAATTTTGTGTTGGAAAACTCCCTCCAAACCTATCTCTACTGTCTACTTCAATTTACTTCATCACTTTTAGGAGCAAGGAATCTTTGGAGCTTCAAAAATTTTTACAGCAGCTATTTTTCTAGTTCTGTGTTTTACTTACAGATAATCAGGATTAGTCAATGCTGTTTACTATCAGATTTTTTTTCTAAACACTTTCTAAACACTTATTTTCAGCATCTATGCTTGGATCACAGGTAAGGACAGCATACACTGCCCTCATCCACACTGTCAAATAACTGCTGAGAACGACCCATTACAGACCTTTTAAAACAGTATACTCTTTGAAACATGACCAGGAATGAATTTTTGATGCTTACTTCTGAAATGACCCAAAAGATACTCTAGCAACCAAGAAGTAGGTATGTTAGTACTCAGCTGCAGAGACTGAAAAGGAGAAAACAGTTCATTATCACACAGCAGTAGCAACTCTGTTAAAATACGACCCCTTACCTGTGTATTTCTCAACAGGCTGCGTGGTGTCAGAATTTGTGTGATGATCAAGCAACAGCCTTCAAAAGAGTAGCCTAGTAGTGCTGTGTTTGTTAACAGTGTCAGGGTCTGAGTGTGCTGCAATGCCTGGGGTACTGCTCAAGGCTAGAGGTGGCAGGGAAGAAGAAAATGTGAAACTCACAAATATCCTCTATCTTATTTGGCTGATAAAGGCACCTGTCTCCTTCCTATTGCTTGCTACCTTTCAGAAGACTTGCATGTTACTGTTTCCCTGCCAGTAGGCTGGACAGCAGGTATTTCAGGATAACAGAAATTATTTCAGTTAACTGGAGAAATACATACTTCTATGCATCAGGTAACTTCAAAAACAATTCTGTCAATAGGGACAGTGTATTTCCAGTGAGTCTGAGACATTTATAAGTAGTAGGGCTGTGCAGCCCATTCCAGCTGGAAGCTCAGGAAGCAAAACATAAGGAAGCACATAGCCAGCTCGTCAACTGAAGCATGCTGATGTGCCTGTGTTTGTGGAATGGCTGATATTCTCATAGCAGAAATGACTGACAGAGAGACACTGTCCACAGCTCCAGGCTGTGCTGATACAGGATGAAGTTCAAGCCATTGAAACACTGTTGAAATCACTTTCTCTGTTCCATCAAGAAAGACGCTGATCTGAATTTAGCTAACAGTTTTTAGGCCACTCTTATGCTGCACTCCAAGAGCATCGATTTATTTATTTATAGCAGTAGTTCAAAATTTTGGGGATTGGAAATTTCCTCATCTTTTTTGTAACAAATCAACTTCAACACAAATGCTGAGAAGACATCATCAAAAGAAAAAAAAAGAAAAAAAACTTGAAAGCTAGACTTTTGGATAGATACTACTTTCCAATTTCATGTTATAAATGTCCAAAACAGGTTGAAGAGAACTCCTCTACCCCTAGGTAGGTAATAGGTGAATTACACAGTAATAGATATATTTAAGGTTTAAAAAATATCTGCTCTGGAACATCTCTATCTACAGTGAAATGCACAGATAATTACTTTCACAGTTTAGTGTGATAAGTAAAAGAAGAAAAACTTTCTTTCAGCTAAAATTGGTAAGGAGTGTAGTCAGATAAACAAAATAAAAACTTAAAAGCACTCTTGGCCAGGACATCAGGGCTATTGATTTTGCAGCTGTGAACATGCAAAGCCAGAACTTCAGAAAGAGATTTTAAAAACCACAGACCAAAGGTAACAGGCTCCAAAGTGCTAGGCCCTACAAACCCTATACAGGACAGTTATTTAGGGCAAACTCGGGTGCATAACTGTGAAGGACGTATACCTTGAACTTTCTTCCAGTACTGTTCTCACATCCCACTCTGTTTTTGCCCTCAGATTTATATTCCTTCAGCTTAAGTGGCACTTAGGCGTGGAGTGGAGGAGCTGGTAGCTGATATGACCATGAACAAAGCAGCTAGTGACTTTAGAAGTAGGCTCACTCTCCACTGTCTGAGGGCTTGGGGCAGGAGAGGTTTGCTCGAACAGGAGAAGAATTAGAGTAACCCTGTACAGCCCCTACTTCTTTCATTTCTTACACAGATTCATTCAGCTTTTATCTTGCATGAAATACCGGAGAAGCTCTCGGAATACCATGGCAGTCATTGAATCACAGAGCAGTACCAAAGAACCAAGAGGGATACCCTGCAATGCCAATCAGCTTTGACAATGGGGAGAAAGGACTACTCCACATCCATAAATATTTACCATTACTCATCAGTTCTTTTCTCTTCATTCCGCAGGTCTTTTTCCTCTTGTGTTCTCATAGCTCAATGTTTCTGTTGGACAGATTCCCAAGGAGCAGCCTTTCTGCAGGTGCAGTGTTGTAACAGCTCTGAAACATTAGTCACCATTTTATCAATGTTAAAATGTTCTCAAGGCAATGCTTCTAAGAATACTGTCACTCAACACACCATCTAGTAATTCTATTGCAGTAAGACGGAAGATTAAATAAAACCTTCCATTCATGCTGTTCATCTCACCTTGTTCTGTGCCCAAGACTGGAGATCAGTGAGTCTGAGGAAACACCTTCCAGTTGTAAGCTCTGTGTGTTTATACTGCAATAGTTCAGTAAATCTATTCAACTTTCAAGTGGCTTTGTTTATGGCTCTATTACAATACTCCCAATCACTGTCAAAGAATTCTACAGAAATATTTTTAAAGATTCAGTTCTGACTTAAAATGCCATTGTAAATCAGGAATAACTCCAGTAAGCTGATATGAAGTAAAATCTAGTTTATATCTTCATGCAGCAATGATGTGAGCCTTCTGAAAACTTAGGAGTTAAGATACATTTATGACAAGCCCTGTGCATGATAATTTACTTAGTGAACATACTGATGCCCATGTTACCTCAATTGAGTATTCCAGACAAAACTCTGAACCCACAGAAATCTCTACAAATATTGCCATCGATATAGCTGACTCAGGATTTCACAGAATACACATTTATTAGGGATTGCTGTTAAGAGAATTCTCCCATGTTTTAAATCACTCTGCAGTGGTGAATAATTAATACTCAGAAAAAGTTCAGTATTTCTTTCTGCAAGTAGGCAAAGTCGGCAGCCTGCTGGATTTGAAGATGCAGCTCAAACATGAAAAATCTCCTATTTCAACATCATCACCTGTGCATGCAGCAGAGTATTCCATATTCACTCTCCCATCCTTGCTTCTGTGGTTTCTTTACTCTGGAAAAGAGTTTACACTTACCAACGACATTAAAACAGGAGTTACGGTTACTGTATGTGTTTGCACCAGAAGCAGCTGCTGGCAGTGTGAAAGGGGAAAGGAAGCAATGAGATCCTGCATCCTGCACTACCCTGGAAAATACAGGTGCTGAGAGAAAACTTTTATCCAGAAGAGTTTGTCAAAGATAAGGACGTAGGAAAGGAGAAGAGCAACAAAGAACACTTCAGAGAGATAAACCATTAGCTCCAGCCCAGTCTCCAGTAAATAAATTTACATCTCTAACTGCTGCTTATGACTATCCAGTAAGAGTACCATGTGAATGGGAGGAAAGCAGAGCTAACCTTACCTCTATGACTGTGAGCAGAGGTAAGCATTAATATTCTCACCTCAGATGAGCTTCATTTTCTGAAACTAAATAAGGAAGCTTCCCTTGCAGGAAGATGCTTTTGTAATTAGCCCTTCTCATGTAGGCCACCAACAGCTGGCTTACATCCTTCAGGTTCAGAGTTAGTTTATAGACTTTTGTGTTTTGTAAAGTTACACACTTAAGACACAGTAAAAACTGCAGTAAAAAAAACACTGACTGACTTTTTATAGGACCAGAGAGTGCAATTGTAGAGAATCTGTGTATAATCCAAGGAGACCACCGTGCTGCCTTATAACTGAAAGGTCATTTACTAGACTTTTATCCTGTTTTAAGGCAGCTTTTAATTGACACTCGTGCCTTGTTCAAGTCCCTGTCTCTCTGCTATGCTGTATTATACACAACAATGTGATGGCCTCTTTGGAAAAAATAACTATTTTGAAATATATGCTTTCAAGATAATTGGCCTTTTTGCTCTCACTTGTGGTTCAAACAACATACCAATCTGATTATTTCAAATAACAAACATATGCTTTGTTTAATGGGATGGGAGACTACTTACCTGTGAGAAAACAGAAATGGCAACCAGTCATAGAAATCTTTTCCATTATTGAAAAGCGTCATAAAATATTAGTCAGCTTTGAGTGTGATGGTTCAATAGTGGACAAATGGGGATGAATGTGCCAGAATTGGCTCACTCTGACAAACTAGACTGTTCAGGTACTGCATGAGACAAGTTACTGAGGCACGCACATGTGGGAGGGAGGTGTTCTAGTTGCAGAGAAAATGTAAAATTATTTGAATACCAACAAAAAAATAATGAGCGAGATTGCCATTTAGTTTAATACAATATAGTGAATATAAAATTACTATAATATTTTTGCCCCTCAAGCCACAAGATATCAAGCCATGAAAATGGAATGCAGTTATTTTTTCCCCCCCGCACAAGGGTATCATCTATGTTATTGTTCCTCAAATAGCTTAGATCAAGATCACAAGATTTAAACATCCAATTCATTTTCAGTACTTTTAGATCATAGACTTCACAGGGCACAGTTCAGGGTACATTTCATAGTTACCTTAACAAGTTTGGCTGTATATACATTATTTGTTTACTTTTCTGTGTTTTTCTGTTATGTCTAAAAATCAAAACTAAATTGCTCAATTTCATTTCCATGTTCTCATTTCTTAAAGTACACTCATTGTTCAAGCTGGCAATACTTCAGATGTTAGAAAGTCACAAAACCAGATTTGGTTGCTATGCATACAGAGGAAAGCTGGGGACAACCTGCAGTATTTCTTACAGCCCCAGGGCCCCTCCTACTTTGTAGGCTATGGTCCTTTCTCATTCCATTACATTTGCAGGTCCAGGAACAAGTCTGCTTGCCTAGACAAAAGGGCCCTTTGCAATATGGTGAACTGCCCTCACAATGCTACTAACAGTGGCATTTACTCTTCATGGTAAATATTTTACAATTTAAAAAAAAACCACCGTTGTATTACAAGTAAGATTGGAAGCCCAGTAGAGAAAGAAGCAGAGTCTATAATGTAGTTCAATTGATGTTCCACAGCATTAAACTGAAGTTAAAACTGTACAGGGAACAGTAACTGACATAGCTATATTTTGTAATTATTAGATACGTCAGCATATTGACTACATGAGTCTCAAGTGTACTCAGCTTGCCCTGGCTGTTTGGAGTTCACTGCTACTTAACTTACATATTCAATAAGAAAAAGATGTTTCTTTCAGAAGTGGGTGATAAAGCTCCAGCAAATTTAGATCATTCTGTAGATAAGGGGAGAGTAAACTCCAGAGAAAAAATGAGCAAAGTATAAAGCTGAAGTTGGCTCTGAGTTCTGCACTGGGAGCTGTGCTGCACTGGGAGCTCAGCTAAATGACAGAGAATTGTATTTTGCCCCAGGTAAATAATAGTCAGTATCTAAAAAATTTAAAAGCCATTATTCAGAGGCAAGTAATGATTGCCTTCAAAATTACTGTTCATTTTGTGTGGCTATATTCTGTGCTGGATGTATCTTCTGAAATCTTTGCCCACACCTCACACCTTTACTTATCTGTCAATGAAGCGATTTAGCAGGTATCAACTTACAGCTTGGCAGATCCCTCAGATCCCAACTCAGCTCTGCCCAGACCTTGGCTCTTGCTTGGTACCTATCTCTGCCTCTACTGGAAGGAGCCCCAAGGTCTTCCTTACTGCACCTTCCAGGTAAATAAGGGCTCACTCTGCATATACAGCTGCAGTGTCCATTGCTAGCAAGATGAGCATGTAGCACAATGAACCTGGAATCACAGAAATGCCTGTCAGATAATGCATGTTTTTGGGTAATGCAGGGGTACAAAGGAAAAGAAGGTACTCTATACCTTGAAAATTCTGCTATAAAATCCTAATCAATATCTGATCCTACACAGGCAACAGATCAGCCCATACAGTGGGAAATTCTGCTCAGTTTGGTAGTAGAAGAAATAACCAACAATTAGTGCAAATGATCACAAGAGCATACAAAATGAATTTTAATAGTAGTCTAAATATGAACAGACATATTTGGATGTTACTTCACACACTCCCACAGAAGTCACTCTGACTTAATCATAATACTAAGAATGCATCCATGCTGCAGTGAGACCAAATACAAGGCAAGAAGAGTAGGGTCTCACTGCCCCAAACCCATTTTGCTATAAAGGGGCTTCCATGAACACATATCTCCTACAGTTTGGAGACATCAGCAACATCTGAGAAGTATAATGCAGTACATTAAGCCAACAAGCCTTCTTTTCCCTAAATTCCTTATTTTTAATATAAAATTGCTATTTTCTCCCCTTATTCTGCAACCTGATTTTGCTATGGTTCAGGCCAAATTCTAGTTTGAAGAATTCCCGTTTGTCTGATTTCTTCCTCCAAAATCTGGAACAGCTGCAGAGTTTTACCTGACAGCAGCCTACATCTCTGAGAAGGTATCTCAAAGGGATATTGTAAGAAAATTATTTCAGTAAAGAAGGAAATTGTCAGGAAAAAACACAGCTATTATTTTGCAACGTATGCAAGTACTGTTTTTCTAAGCTTAATTTAATCTAGTTTATATGGTATTGATCACAGTTACCATAAGACCTGACAACTCTTTTATATTTTATGATTTTATTTTAGTAGATCTCAAATCTACCAGCAGTCTATAACACTACAGCAAGTGACCTGTAGGGGGTCTACTCATTGAGCAATAAAAACACAATGACCTCTATCAAATGTCTCAACTATGGTGAACATAAACAAACAGAAATTGTAAAAGTTGGCAATTATTTGAGGGCGAAAAAGTCTGGAGAACTTTATATTAGTACAATTGTAACAGCTTTAACAGGATGCTCTTGATTTAGGTTGGAATAATTGAAAAATTAATCACATCTCCTACATATCACCAGAAGAAAGGAGAAAAACCATCTTGGAATTTGCAGTTCACTATAATCTGAAATAGAAAAGTTCTTAGAGAAATCCAGTCTAAGGCAATGCCAAACCTCAGCACAGCATTAGAAAACAAATATCCTTGTGTTACAGGCCAGTAGTTATTCCAGAGTTGCTTCCTGGTTGAAGCACAACTTGCTTTGTTACTCCATGCTCACTTATGTGTATACAGCAGGTTTATACGCATTTATCTGTAGCCAAAGAGTTGGAGATCACTCTCAGTGCTTTGTCCTTCATTCTGGTGAGATGCATTGTTTCACTACTGAGGCACATGGAAGCTGTAAGGCCAACCACCTAACCACAGGAGGTATGGGATCAATGGCAAACAACACATCTTGTTTCAACTCAAACATCCCCCTCTGCAGAAGGTACTTTTCTGCACATGGCTGAGGAGCTGCTGGAAGACTGAAGGGGCACTCCTTTCAGCTATGGGGCTGTCCTACCTCCAGTGCTGCTCTTCTGGCACCCAACTCTTCCTATGCTCCTTGTGCAGCTGGTGGCCCAGGATGGAGTCAGCACTGCCTCAAATGGAACAGTGAATATGAAGCTGGTTTTTTTTGTTTTAGCAACAACTATGGTTTCCCCTTTCTTTCTGCCTTCCTTAATCCCTGGTTCATATCCTTTGTTAAAGTTTCTTTTTCAGTCAAGTTTTGTGAGGGCCTTCTAGCAAGAAAGAGTATGTACACATGCACACATACTCTTTATATATACACACACACGTAAATGTTTACTCATGTATAATGCAATAACAGTGCAAGTGTGTGGAGCATGGCTGATTTATGTACCTATGCACTGGCCACTCCCTTCAGATACAGTTGCCAAGAGCCCAAAACAGGGCCTGTTTCCCCATTGCCATGGCAACACCAGGTGAGAAGCAGCATTTCCTATAAAGAAAGAGATGCTGCCAGACTGATCAGAGGCCAGGAGCAGGCTGCTCCCTGTGCTGCCTAGGGCAGCATCACACAACGGCTTTACAGCAGCCACCACCATAACCCCTCTGGCAGGACCTCGGGCACCAGTGCTCAAGCTCCCCAGACGTGGCCCAGCGCCTGGAGGAAAGCATGGCAGCTGCCTGGGGAGGCTGACAGGGCTGCAGGGCCACCCCGTGAGGTGCACGAACTGAGGGACCACAAGCAGCTGGTTTAGTGCCTCCCATTTACACTGCCTTCACCTGACCCACCTGGAGGAGCTTTGTGATGTGGGAAGTGCCACACCTGAAAAAAAAAAGAAAAACAACACAACAAAACAAAACCAAACAAACAGTTGCCAAGCTTTTGAACCTGCTGTGCCTAGAGGCTGAGTAAGCCTGGTCTTTCTCTGTAAGAACTGGTTTCCTCCCTGCAACTTTGGCAGCTAAGATTAATGCATTTTAAACAGCATGTAGGTTCACTTCAGTTTTGTTTCTGTTTTATTTTTTTTTTTTAAACTTCCTCTTCTTACTTCTGAGTAAAATCTGACCACAGTAACAGAAAATTTAAAACATCATATTAGCTTTGCTTTGAGGCACACAGGGAAACCTAAAACCTGGGTAAATAATAAAATCTCAGCCACTCTCTATTATCCCAACCCACTTCTGTGTCCTTGAGAGTCTGATCAAGAAACTGATTGTGACCAGGTATAAATACCTGGTTTTAAATATGAGTTTTTCTTCCTTGAGTGAACATATCTAGGTGTGAATGATCTGCTATTAGTAGGCAAAATGGGTGGTGAAGTGAGAAAATGCTTTCTCACAGCTATCTTAAACACCACTGCAGAGAAAGCCTTCGTAATAAGGTGTGGTATACAGAAAAATGTACAAACTGTGGCAGCTATCTGATGACTAAAAACATATTATGTGCTCAAAGCAGATCAGCATCAACACACTGCCTGTTCCTGTCCATCCTCCCTTAGAAGTTGTTAGTTCCTCCATTGAAGCGCACAGAAACTCAGCCCTTGCCCATAGGGAACCCACCCAGAAGAGACAAAGATAGCACTGAACAACTTGGTACCAAGAAATTCAGCAACACAATACAGATCAAAGGGAAACCAAGCTTCATTATCCGTCCCTTTGCAGATTTGTTTGCTTGTTTCCCTTTCCAAGCATCTGTATTTATTCCTTACTTAGTTAAGGACATTGCCTTGTTTTCTCGTCTCTCTTTCTCCACGCTCTTCTACCCCTTCAACGTCCTTCAGCATCCTGCTGACCTTCTGCAGCCCTGTCTCTTGCCTTCCATGAGGCTCTTGCCTACTTTCTGCTCCAGTTTTGCTAGCGGTTGCTTTCTCCTCAAATACATCTGTGCATACTTGGAAGAACTCTTTTGTTAAAGAAGAACAACTGCAATCTGTACTTCACTACTGCAGACTAATAGACTAATTCTGTAATACATAAACAAAAAAAGACGCAACATCCTACAGGTTCATGCCTCATAGTTGGTATATCTCATGTCTAATAGACACAAGCTCTAAGCAAAACTAGCTTCAGTTGCAGGAAATTCACATTTGCTTTTTCCTATGTGAATTCTCTGATATATAGAATTGGAGGGTTTTACATACAATCCTTTTTCTCAGGGGATGCTTTAAAAGTGTCTGTGCCCTTCACATGCATAAAGAATCACTTAGGGAGTTCACAGTATTTAAATTACACATCAACCATGTCACGCTGGCTGCAGTTGAACATGGGTTAAGAAGCCAGACAGGGTGAATCAAAAACACAGCCAGCCACTCATCTCAACTTTATATTCTTCAGGAAGTCCAGTTGACATCTAAAGCCATAGGCTTATCTAACATGTTCTATAATAACAAAAGCAAAACTTACCCAAGATTGAAGAAGGGCCTGCAGTAATGGCACTCTTGTGCTGAGCTTCATTGCTGCCAGTATTGTTATACTCTTTTCAAAACAAAAGCTGTATTGTTCTCAACTATTAATGTATATTTTTCAGAAGCAGATACAAAAGCATAGTTTGTAATAGCACAAAAGGCATCAAAATCACTGCAATTGCCTTCTGGTTAAAAAGGCCAGCTCTCAATTCTTAATCTTATATTTTATCGTGAACTTGAAGGGCGGAGAGGAATTAATTGTGAATTGGGCTCATTACAGGTTTATCTTAAAATTGTTAAATTCAACAAATAAAGTTTCGTGAATTTAACAAAATTCAAATTAGTTCTTCTCCTGTCATTGCCTGGATTCTGAGCCATCGGCTTTTAGCCTTTTTTCCTGCCTCCATCTTTTTCTTCATGATTACAAAGGCTTAAAGTTTGTATTAAAAAAATAAAAAAGCTGAATTTCCCATATAATTCAAAGGCAACAAAAGTCACATTAAGAATCATAAAAGATACCAACAGCAAATTCCATCTACTTTATAGATAGCTTTGCCTAGTGCATGCTAAGAAGTCAGCCTCTTAAAAGTCTAAATATAGCAGAAGGGTCAAGAATTACAAAGCAATTTTTCTGATCAAAGATGTTTCAGATGTTCCTGAAAATAGATTTTTTGAAACCACTATTCTTTAGCAACAGAGTTCATGTACAACTTCTTTCTCAAAGTGGGCACACAACTAAGAATTGATTCTTTAATCATTTTCAGAAACTTAAGTATTAAAAATTTCATCCGTGGCTTATTTCAGAGAAGCGTAGTCTCACAAATCAGCTGTTTCTGGCTTCACTGAATCCTAATCACACTCTGCCTCTGACATTTCATAGCAGTATTTCTGCTGCAATGCTCCCATTCAGGAAGACCTTTTCCTCATATATTTAAGTTCACTGTGCATCTTTGCCAAATAGTGATTTTCAGGAAACACAGTCAGAGACATTCTTTCATTGCAAGGAGTCTTCACACATGCTGATTCAATACAAAAGACAACCAGAGCTAATCAAGGACTGCTGACAACTGAAATTTCACCAAGCTACCTTCTGGTATAAATGTCAAACCTCAATATATATGCAGTTTTTTTCCTTGTAATTTAAGGATTTCTTACAGGTATTTTTAAAACCTGTGAAACACTAAAATGCTAGATCCCAATTCCTTAATTGAAAGTTTGATCTACTTAATTGCCAGCCATTTCTTAATGGCAGCCAAACCACAGCTTCTTCAATTAACAATGGCTATTTCCTGATTTCTACCCCAGTTCATCATCTTCCAATTATCTTTGTGAGAGAATGAAAGAATCCAAATAAATTAATTAGAGGCAGCGTGCTATCTGGTAATAGCTATTGGCTGCCCCTCAGACTGAGAAACAACTCTGAAATACAGTTAGAAACTCAGTTGCCTACTATGACTTACACACAAGCCTCATTTCACAAACCATACTTACCAGGAAGTACAAGATTTTTAAAAGCCAAAGTTAACATTGTCTCCTAATCTAGACAGCTGATGTCAAGACAGCTGATGTAATCCAATCCAGTCATCGCTGCAGTCAGGTTAGTATCCTGTGGTTGCATGAGATTAAAAACAAATCCAATTTATCACAGGGAATCTTCAGATCAAGCACACTTACCTTGCCTTCTGTTTCACAGTTCCACCCAAAATCACAAATCTCAAACTATGTTCCCATTTAGTACTACACTAAGAACAAATGGTCTTCTATATACATAACCCTATTCAGCTGGCTATCAGTGATGACACCTGAGGGACTTTTAATAATCAGAGCTCATGTAAGGGCATTTTAAAAATTAGAGCTGAGGCTTCAATCCTTCATTTTCTAATTATGAGATTCTAGAGTAGGTGTGCATCATGTCAATTTTGCTTACACTTTTATTGGATACTTAGGGATTATGAGTAATTCTTTGCACCCCAATAGATGTCTACTTTTGGCTAAGCTAAAAAATAATCTGTTAAACACATTAAACATTTTCGCTTTTATAAAAAGTCTTCCTACTCTGTATAATACATTATTGAGAAGCACTTGTAGCAATGCACTGTTTAGAATAATATAGTCTGACTCAGTGCAGAAAAGACTATCAGAAGTCTACTCAATTCTGTTGCTTGAATGCAAGATTATTTGAATGTTTCATTGTATGGCACCAAGCCAACTCATTTTCAAGCAACTGTTAACTATATCCTTTCAGATGCATCAGTGGAACGTTTACCATGTTTGAGGTGTGATTGTTCTAACAGCAACTTCCTGCAAAAGGAATTGTACAAGCAGGTTAGTCCAGTAGGTCTCACAAAAAAAACCCAACATACTTGCTTCTGTATCAAATAAGCCTTTACTTGTAGAGATGACTAAAGATGACATAAAGATGTCATTGGTGAAAGAAAAGTCAACATTTATGGTTCATATGGCTCATCCCTGATTATGGGCAGACTGGACAGCTTTCCAGCCGTTCTTGGACACTGGCCACAAGTAAGCAAAGCAAGTAATATTAATTTTGTTTCCCTCCCCTCCTCCTTACTGTCTTCTGTTACTGAGCCTTCAATAAGCACTCAGGACAAAGGAAAGTAATCTGCATTCAGCAGCAATAAGAACAAAACTTTCCACCTTTTGCTGACAAACAGCATGACCGAGAACAGCAGTGAGAAAAATTCCCATGGAAATTGCACAGATGCAAGTAGAAAATTGAAGAGCGTTTTCCATCTAGCATGCATTCAGCTCCTCAAAGAGCATAACACCACACTGATGTGTTGTCAAGTGTGGCAACTCCTCTGCAGAGATACTGAGATAAGCTGAGTCAGTAAGTTTTATTTAACTGTCAGCCCTTCCTACTGCACCGTGTCGAAGTCAAGAAATGAAGCTTTAACCTCATCTGACTCCCAACGAATGCCGGCTTATGGGGTACTTCAGGCTGGGAAAATGTAAGATGGTTTAGAGAGGAACGCTAAGATCAGTCACACATTCACAATGCCCAATTTTTAGAGAGAGCTGAGCCCATCCTAAGAAAGTGAAGACCCTCTGTGGGTTGGGCCAGAATAATCAATTGCATTTAGTTTTGAATTTTTACTCTCTGGAGATTTGCACATAGTTTGTGGTTAAGATATAAACTCAATGCAGTTTACTTTGTTTACATTTGCTTTCTGAGCAACCTGTTGAGACTTTCAGCCTCAAAACAAAACAGATGATAGCGATGGTCTTCATAAAGCTAGGATTTCCCACTGAGAGACAGAAAAATAGACTGCCCCACCAATATTTGAATCCATTTCTAATGCTGTATTTATTGATGAGAAGGCAGAAAAATTGTCCTTCTGGCTCCACTCAAAACTACAAATTGACTATGTTTCCAGCTTTCCATGTTCTTAGCATTATCTTATTCCATCTCCCCCAGATGTATCCACTAAGAAGGATATTGCCGACAACTAAGAAAGAAAACAGTCTGACAAACTGTTCTCCACCCGTTTCCTTCATCAGGAGAGGAATGCTGGCTACAGATGGGTTAATTATTACATTAAACAT